CGTATGCATATGTTGTCCTCCCATGATATCTGATAGTCAGCGTTGTACCTTCCGAGAACGTTGGACACACCTCCAACCGGGTTCACACGCTGCCTAAGGGACTAGCCACATGCAGGATATAGACTATGACGTGTTCTTGGGTATGTAAAATAACGGTGGTGCTATCGTTCGGGCGTTATGGCTGAAATGGATGTGTTTGTTTCGAGCGGGGCCGGCATTGAATCCTGAGCAGAAGGGAAAGATTGGATGCAAGACAGGAAGTATGCCCGGATGCCGACCGGATGACGGTCCGATTGTAATGGCCTCCAAATCAAAGCGCTCCGTGTACACACCCAAGCTCTGGACATGGTGTTGTGTGCTGATGTATGCAATCGTGTCTAATATCCTGTGGTCTAACTTGAAAAAGACCATCCTGAACCCCTCTATCAAGAAACGATCATGACTCTACAGGGTGATGTTAGATGCTAATCCCAGGCAGGTTGAGTTTCGATTCTAACCTATGCAACAGCCCATTTCACCGCGTTTCAACTGTAGCTCGTGTTTAGTGGGACGGCGACATATTCGAGACCTAAAGCAACCGAGAAGGTTGTTTGAAGCTCAACCGTGGTTGGACAATCATCCACCAGTGGACATGGCATTAACGAATGTGTTTCAACGTTTGGCGTTGTATCGGGTTTGGAAGAAAACCTGCACTGCCAACGTCGAGGAACCCCTTTGTAGTCCGAACCGTCAATTTGTTCAACATCCCACATCCAACAACGCAGACCTCGTCGCAAACGTCCACTAAATTAGGAGCGTGGTGTACAACAAACCCCGTCCTACATCAGGCCAGCACTTGCATAGGTACACGATTTGCGACCTAGGCTACAACACGAATTTTCAGGAATGGCCTCCCTGAGTGAGGTGATCGACAACATTCTGAGTTCTTAGAAGATCGTACGTCATGATGTTTTTGCTGGGCAGCCCATCGGTACGGTAAGCGTGAACGTCCCAACAACAATGGAGGCTACCATCCGGAGCACAGAACAATGGAGAGTTCCTTTTGCTACGGGCAGAGGCGAAAGCGCAACCGAAATTCAAGCAGTACAACAATATAGTCAGGAGGAATCTACGAGTGACACCTATCGATACGAATGTTCACGCGGGCTAGGAGATCCAAATCCATCCACTTGGCGCAGGTTGGCCAGTTTCCCTTGACACATAAACAAAGCAACCAATAGCGAAGTATGACTAGCCAGCTTCACAGCCCAACAGATAAACAACAACCTACCGTACCTTACAAATGAAAACAAATCACATAATCAACGCATCTCTCTCCAGATGCTGCGACAAAATCATCATCCATGCGGCCAAGGGGTCTCCCACACTTTCTACAGTTGTGCTAAAACGCCCATGGGACACTCATGGGCCGCCCATGGGCACTTTATTGCCCATGATTGACCCATGGGCATGCCCGTGGGTAGCCCGTGGGCAGCCCATGGGCAGCCCATGGGAAGCCCATGGGCGGGGAATGAGAGCCCTTTAACCGGAACCAGCGCACTCTAAAACAATAGATTATCGGCCAATGAGAGCCCTTCAACCGGAACAAGTGTACTCCTACAGTAAACAATAGATTATCTGCTTCGGAACGGACAATATTGCGGCTAATGACCCTATCGCTAAGCCTAACCCTAACCCCAAGCCGACACGATAAGTGCTAGGTTGGCGTGATGGCTAAGGTCTAGGTTGACGTGCAGGTGGCTAAGTTCTGGTCGGTTGAAGTGCCCACGATGGGCACTTCATGAGTGCTTCATGGGCCACCCATGGGCATGCCAATGGGTCGACCATGGGCAAGCCCATGGGTGTCCCATGGGCGGTTTAGCAAAACTGTCAGTTATGTGGGAGATTGTGGCCAAGGCGCACGAAAGCAATGCCTTCGTCATCGTAGAACGCCAATGACGACTCCTCAGTCCTCCGGTGAGTGCCCTAGTTACTTGGGGGAGGGTATCATGTGAATCAAAACGCTGTCCAGGTGCTTGGCATACCACACAGGTTTCCCGTGCTTCACGCGAACGAGGGAGGCTGGCCATTGGACTCCCGACAACGGATAGATAGTCAAAACCAGCCCCAAACTGTATATGCTGAAGGCGTGGCGGCCATGCGCAGACGCCGGATATGAGTTGGTTGAAGAGTTCACCAAACTCCAGGCGTCGCAGGGAAGCCGGCCATACGACTCCGACAACGTGCTGATTGAATCTCTTCCCAACCTTGAGCTGTTGCAGAGATGCCGGCCAAGTCACTCCGGCAATAGGTTGGTTGAAGGCGAGCCCGAGGTCCAATTTCAGCAGGGAGGTCGGCCACACCACGTCGACAATGGGCTGGTCGAAGCAGTGTCCGGGTGAAAGTTGTTGCAGAGGCGCCGGCCACGTCACACCGGCAACAGGTTGGTTGAAACGATCCCCTAACGATAGCTGCCGGAGGGCGGGAGGCCAGGCCGCACCAATGATCGAACGGCTAAAGCGGACAAGCTCAAGTCGTTGAAGAGAAGCCGGCCACAGCCACTCCGGAAATGATCCAGAAAGCTCAACATTCTTCAAGTTCGGAGGCAACCTCAGGGAGCGCGAGCGTCCTTGGCCATAGCCCCCCAGATCCAACTCCTCCACTGCTTTCCACAACCTCATGTTGTCTGGCCGATGCAACCACAGCGGAACCGACAATGTCACTCGACTAGCCCGCAAGGGAGGCACTCGACTCGAGCCGCGATAGTCTGGGGGCTAGAAGACCGAGGTTGTTGTTGTTGCTCTGCCGTCAAAGCGTTCAAAAGGCTGCCGGGGGTTCCGTCTTCCACTCTAAGACGTGACGTCGGGACTTTTCGGCATGCCCAGCAGAAGTCCAGTGATGCCAGCTGTAGTTCCAGCGTTGATGTGTACCAACGACGGTTGCGCTCCGTCGTACACTTGGCCCAGGGCAACGGTGAAGGCATCGAGACACCGGGCGCAGTTCCCTGACAGTAGAGCGGTTGGCATGCTTTGTGTAGAGGCGTGTCGTTGCGATCAATACAGGCAGGCTATTGGCCTCGGCGCAGGGTATGAACAACATGCGCCGTATGTTGCGATTAAAATGAACCACATCGATGAGGGGCGCAGTGAGAGGATGGGGGTGGGTGTCATTTCGGCGAAATGAGTCAAATAATTGTGCCCCCTGCCGCCCCTGCCAGGAGAGCTTGGGACAGCTCCGCCGCGCCTTGCTTGTTCACAGAGCGTGGAGAGTCGCAGAGTGCCAAACTCTGCTTTTGAACAACCGAAGACCACAGGCCCGCACAGCAGAAGCAGCAGCAGCAGCAGTCCCCAGGGGACCTCCAGTTGCAAGGCATCAGCGACGAGGATCAAAGCCTGATCTCGTCTCTGTTTTGTGCCGGTTGTACCGCGGTCAGCGGAGGGTTTGTGGATACAAAGAACAGAGGATCATCATGAGCGCCTGCGGATTTGGAGGAGGAGGTGAGTTATTCCAGGGGATGGACGAGTCTCCCCCTGCTTGATTGAGGAAGGCGTGGGTATCTGTCGGCTCCGGTCGTTCTCGTGCGTGCAAGACACACGAATTCATGGATACCGTCCGCATGTACAGCAGGGTTGTTGCGTTTGGTTTCACCTCATTTTTTTTTTTGTCGAGTCGTGTACAACGCACTCGAGACTCTTGGAGGTATCCTTGTTGTTGTGTGTACTCTGGTGCGGACTGAGGCGGACTACCGAGAGCTGCCAGAACACATGCGAGGTGTCAAATATTCTGGGAGTAGTCATGCTCGAATCTTTCTCAGGGGGCTACAGCAGTAGAGGCGGACAGCACGACTATCGCCGCCACATACGATCTGACGTGGACACGGTCAGAATGTCCGTCGGCTACATACATACATCGACAGCAGGAGGAGTCGCACAGCGCCATGATCGTTCGCGCTCTCTGGTTTCGGCTGGTCGGACGGAACATTAACCACATCATTGCCTGCGTTGCGTATGCTATCCATGTTTAGCGACCACCCAATTGTCTACACTACCCAGCGCCCTGATGCTGATGTTGCCGTGTCATGGATCCACCTTACAGCAGTAGATACTCGTTTTCCACTGCGGCTGGACTACCGCAGTAGTCTATATATACGGTGTAGATCGCAACCGTTTTTACACCCTCTGGTATGTATCCAGAGTAACGTGTGCCCTGTGTGCAATGAACAGGAGGTGTACATTCTACAGATTGTGCCGTGCGGCCTCCGCATGTGGGAGCTTTCGCCGGTGCATCGTGGCATTGTCTGCAAATGTTGATGCCGTCCAACTTGGATCCGTTTGAACATCGCATCTTGTCGTTTCATGTGTGTGTACGGTATCGACAGTACAACGAATTACACCACCCACAATATCCTATACCTTCTCGGCCGTGTTGCGCCGTAGCTCTCACGACTGTACTCAATGGGTTCTGCGATCCATATCGACCTTGAACATTTCAAAGTTTCTGACGCTGATGCTCATGTTCATGTACTATCCGGTCGACGATGCTACAGTTTCCATGCAGGGGCCATATCATTTTCCGGTTGTTGTTTTGTCAACGCTCTCTTCGCAGTCTCTATCGTTGCCGCACCGTCTCCATCTCCACGTCCATGCGTTATTTTCGTCGGGATGTTTCTGCCTCTGTTTCTCGCCGTTACTTGATTTTGGACGCTGCTCTCGCATCGTTGTTCGCTCGTTCTTGCGCGGAACTTGCCAGTGAATGGCCTCACCGCCAGCCGCACGAGGCAGACCGCCCCCCGGCACCGTGTGGCAGGGCAGGACGTGAGGAGGGAGAAGATGGAGCGAGTGGATGATAAGGTCGTGGTGGGGAAGAAGGGGAGGATGGTGATGCTGGACGTCACCCAGAAGCCACAGCAACAACGACAGCAGCAGCAGCAGCAGCAGCAGCAGCAGCAGCAGCAGCAGCAGCAGCAGCAGCAGCAGCAGCAGAAGAGGCACGTGCCACCATCGCTGCAGGAGCAGCCGCCAATGCCGAGGTGAGAATAGCGTGAGAACACTGTGAACCACGCATCACATTTCTTGGTCGAATCTGTTATTCTATTGATGGCTTTGATATATACACAAGACCGCAGATGCGTCGAAAATACGCAAGTCTAAGCCTTTGTCGGCCACAACATCGAGATTGCCCAGAGCGGTTGTGATAGACGAGTTGTAATATTTTCCCGCCGATTCGTCCGCCTCGGCTTCGCTTTGCCTTTTGCAAGCTCGCTCTTGTGCGCGAACTACTGTACTTGGAGTTGTAGATCGAGGTGCAAGCCTTCTCAAATGTTTGGTCTGACAATGGTTGGTTGTTTGGGAGAAAATCCAGCCAGGACCCATTTGCTCGTTCCATTTTCTACCAATAAACCACGGTTGCCGCGGCATTGCAACCACCTCAACCCTGACCTCCTCCAGAAACACCGTTTCCCCCCTCCAAAGGGACACTCGCTGCAACACGGCGAGTGCACCCTTTCTGCACAGATATCCCTTCCTTCCTGAGCCCACAGCAAGGTCCCTATCTTTCGCAAAACTTCAAAACAATCATGAGAAACTCCCAAAATGTGATGAACATTGACGCCAGCGATCCATGTTCCTCACTTGCTCGTAGTGGTGCGACCCTTGACGTCGAGCTGGTGGGATGGGCACAACCTGCCCCGCTGCCTCAAGTGGCTTGCCATAGTGTCCACGAAAATGGGGTACGTGTGTGCACATGCATCAGTAATAACGCTCTCAATCATTCGTCGTATTATCTCATCCTGCTGCGAGCCTTACATGCGGTCGTGTGAGGTTCCAATAACAAATACGGGAGTGCTAAGGGAAGGATGCACCAAGCTAACCGCCTTGACTGATTTCTCTGTGTGGTACAACCGTTGGTACGGCATATGCAACGTTCGCTGCACCTTGCTCGCGCCAGGGTGTCGATCAAGCTCACCTCGGCCGCCCGTAGAAACGCGAGGACGCCAGCTGAAGGTGCCAAGGCTCCGGCCGCGCCCGTACCGGCGGCGACGATTCTGCGGGGCCCCTTGGTCGCGCACCGGGAGGGCGGTAAGCGCACCGGCAACAGCGACCACGGGAGCGACAAAGACGACTACAGCTTTCTCGAGGACGACTTCAGCTTTGATGACGATGATTTGGAGGACTCATCGAGCTCACCAACGGCGTGCCCGTTCAAGGCTGCAGTAGAAGCAACAGAGCTTGCTCAGAAGGCCAAGGACGAGCTTTGCCTGGCGAAACTCCAAGCGGAGAAGAGGAAGGATACGGTCGGCCAGAAAATGCGGGAAACCGATGTGGCGTGGATCCAACAGCTTTCCGTCAAAGCCATGAACGCAATCACTGCCGCATCGAACATGACTTCCGGTGCTGCTGCCGCCATGTATACGGCGAGTCGCGAGGACCCCAAAAATCAGGCGACGGGTTCAGCGGCGGCGGTGACGGCGGCGGGAACGTGCTCGACTTCGGCCCCTTCCAGTGCGCCTCAACGGCGGAGATGGAAGCGCATCAACCGGAACGTCAACGCATCTGTCGCAACCCCCCCTGCGGGAACTTCTCAGCCAGGAGAACGGAGGACCACCACCACAGCAGGTACTGGGCCAGATATCACTTCGTTATGGTGGAGCACGTGGTACACACACTAAGATGGGACAGGCAGTATTTCCGCCTGTCTGTGTGTTTGGCTTCTTGCCTGTTCCCAGGGTCGTCGCCGAGATACCTGGATTTGTTGCAATCACCAGAACAGTTTGTGTTTGTCGCTGAAACAAGCCTCCCCCGACGTCAATAGCGCCAGCAAAGGATTCGTTCGAGTTCAGTGTGAGGTGATGGTGCAGACCGGCCGTGTACCTGTAGAAACAGCGGGATATCGTATCGGCGTGGGTGAAGCGCTGCCACCCAAAAAACACTGTAAGTCTTATGGATATTATTTCTGAGCCCTTCATGAACAGAAAACACGTGCGTCCAGTGCTGAGTTGAGTAAGCTTAACTCTTGTCGTCGAGCACGACTCTAACAAGTGCCTGTCTCCCCCTCGCTCTCCGCCCTCTTGCGCTTGTTCCACTACATCAAGTCATGGAAGTGCACACGAAGCGCGGTATCAACGCCAGCGGCACGATGGCCACCGCTGCCAAGCCCCGTCCAGCACGAAATGCGTCTTCCGACGAAAGTGAGGCAGCATTGGGGTTGGCGACATTGGCTGCACCCACGTTGACGCAACAACCAGCGCTGCCTGCCAGAGAGACGGAGGCCATGAGGCCGATTGCTGGTCCAGTGGAAACTGCGACCTTCTCGCACCGCGCGGGGGACGTTTCAGCAGGCTCCCCAACAGTGGTGGCGGCGGCGGCGGCCGTAGGGAGTGCAGCCATCGGCTCAGCTCCCTGGGGTATGCCCCCCGCTCCGGCCGCTCTGCCTGTGACGGCATCTGCGCCTGCAGCCTGCACGGGGATGGCGATGGAAGAGGAGCAGCCACATTCGACGGAGTCAGCGGTGGCATGCATCGGTGCAACTCCCTGGGCCATGCCCTCCGCACCGGCTGCTCTGCCCGCACCGGCATCTGCACCTGCGGGTGACTCGGACATGGCGATCGTCGAGGACCAGGCTTGCCAGATGACGGCGGCGGCAGCCTTATTGGCCATAACCGCAAGTCCATGGGTTATTCCCCCAGCCCCGGCTGCTCTGCCTGTGCCGGCCGCTGTGCCTGCCGTCGGTGAAATATCGGCTATGGATCAAGAGCAGGCTAGCAAGTCGACGGCAGCCGAAGCGTTGATAGCCATGCCCGCAACTTCCTCGGCTATGCTCCCGGCCCTGGCTGCTCTGCCTGCGCCGGCCGTTGTACCTGCCGTCAGTGCGGTCTCGGCGATGGTTGAGAACCAGGCACGTTCGACGGAATCAGTGGTGGCATGTATCGGTGCAACTCCCTGGGCCATGCCCTCCGCACCGGCTGCTCTGCCCGTGCCGGCATCTGCGCCTGCGGGTGACTCGGACATGGCGATCGTCGAGGACCAGGCTTGCCAGATGACGGCGGCGGCAGCCTTATTGGCCATAACCGCAAGTCCATGGGTTATTCCCCCAGCCCGGGCTGCTCTGCCTGTGCCGGCCGCTGTGCCTGCCGTCGGCGAAATATCGACTACGGATCAAGGGCAGGCACGCAAGACGGCGGCCGCGGCACCCTTATTCGCCATGCCCGCAACTCCCTGGGCCATGCCCCCCGCACCGGCTGCTCTGACTGTACCGGCCGTTGTACCTGCCGTCAGTGCGGTCTCGGCGATGGTTGAGAACCAGGCACGTTCGACGGAATCAGCGGTAGTAGTCAAGCCCGCAACTCCCTGGAGTATGCCCGCTGCCCCGGCTGCTCTGCCAGTACCGGTCGCTGTGCCTGCCGTCGGTGAAATATCGGCTATGGATCAAGAGCAGGCTAGCAAGTCGACGGTAGCCGAAGCGTTGGTAGCCATGCCCGCAACTTCCTCGGCTATGGTCCCCGCCCTGGCTGCTCTTCCTGCGCCGGCCGTTGTACCTGCCGCCAGTGCGGTCTCGGCGATGGTTGAGAACCAGGCACAATCAGCGGTAGCAGCCATGCCCGCAACTTCCTCGGCTATGCTCCCGGCCCCGGCTGCTCTGCCTGTGCCGGCCGCTGTGCCTGCCGTCGGCGAAATATCGGCTATGGATCAAGAGCAGGCTAGCAAGTCGACGGCGGCGGAAGCGTTGGTAGCCATGCCCGCACCTTCCTCGGCTATGGTCCCCGCCCTGGCTGCTCTTCCTGCGCCGGCCGTTGTACCTGCCGCCAGTGCGGTCTCGGCGATGGTTGAGAACCAGGCACGTTCGACGGAATCAGCGGTAGTAGCCATGCCCGCAACTCCCTGGAGTATGCCCGCTGCCCCGGCTGCTCTGCCCGTGCCGGCCGCTGTGCCTGCCGTCGGTGAAATATCGGCTATGGATCAAGAGCAGGCTAGCAAGTCGACGGCGGCGGAAGCGTTGGTAGACATGCCCGCAACTTCCTCGGCTATGCCCCCCGCCCTGGCTGCATTGCCTGCGCCGGCCGTTGTACCTGCCGTCAGTGCGGTCTCGGCGATGGTTGAGAACCAGGCACGTTCGACGGAATCAGCGGTAGTAGCCATGCCCGCAACTCCCTGGAGTATGCCCGCTGCCCCGGCTGCTCTGCCCGTGCCGGCATCTGCGCCTGCGGGTGACTCGAAGATGGTTATGGATGAGGGGCAGACACGCAAGACGGCGGCCGCGTCAGCGTTGGTAGCCACCGCAGCAACTCCCTCGACTATGCCGCCTGTGCTGGCCGCTGTGCCTGCTGTCGGTGGGATCTCGGCGATGGATGAGCAGCGGCCTTGCAAGACGGCGGCGGCGGCGTCAACGACAGCGGTCAAGACCGCCGCCACCTGGTCAATGGCTCCTCTACTGGCCGCTCTGGCTGTTTCGGGAGAGCAGGCCGGTGAGCAGGATGGGGCGACGGGGGTGCAGGAAAGCAAGAAGGAGGACGAGGAGTTGGGAGAGGGAGATATTCGACTCGAGCGCAAGGCTTCCATCGAGGTGACGCGAAACTGGATGTCAACACTCGGTTATAAACCCGCAGAAGCTTTTGCTGCCTTTGCAGCTGCAAAAGACGGAGCAGCAGCGGTAGCAGCGGCAGCAGCAAGGGCAGCAGCTGCAAAAGTAGCAAAGGCAACAGCGGCAAACGCAACAATGGCAGCAGCAGCGGCAGCAACAGCAGTAGCAGCAACAGCGGCAGTAGCAGTGGCGCCAGTCGCAGCAAAGGTCGCAGCAAAGGCAGCAGCAATGGCGAAGGCGAGGTCGCCTGCGACGCCGACGTTTCTCGAGCCAGGGGCACTTTTGGCTAGCGCTCGAGCATCAGAGGAGATGCTAACACCCACTACGGCGGTCCAGCAGACGGTCAAACCAAGCCCGGCCGTCGGAAAAACCGTTGATGCACCTCCAATGGTCGAGTCGGTTGGACAGGAGGCCCAGGGCGAGCCAAACCGATCCCGGGGGCTAGGCGACAGCGAACATGGTGGCGTCGGCCGAAGGGCTGAACATAACGCCACAGTATCTCCGCCCAGGTTGTCACCCCCCGCCCCTTCAAAGACCCGCCAAACGGCGGTAGCAGTGGCCGAGCCGCTGGCGGCCAAGACTGAGGAACAAGTGCCGCTGTTGGGGCTTGCCGAGACCAACTCCAGACCATCACACCCCACATGCGCACCGGTAGCGGCGACGACGGTAGCGGATCCAGCCTACGGAGAGACTACCAAAGGGTTCATCACCTTTTCACAAGGCGCTGCTCTTGACGACAAGGCCCCCACCACTGCCTCCACGTCATCGAGGGATACCGCTCAGCTGCTGCTTCTGAGAGACAGAGCGGTGCTGCGGGAACGGAAGAGGGCGGAGATGAAGATGTCGTCGAGGTCGTCTTTGTTGACCATGGCCTCCCCAGCCAGAGCAGCAGCGGCGAGGACGAGGACCCGCGCTCGTTTCTCCCGGCAAGCCAGGGCCGCCCGCAAGGCGCTTCGGCGAGAGGACGTGATGTCTCGCGGGACATCAGTGTTGTGGCGTGGTGACGGCAGCAACAACGGTGGAACGACTACGGTGGGTAAGGAGGGGGGGAGGAGGCAAGGGACAACCGTGACGACGGTAAGGTCGCCAACACCCCTAACGGCTCGGTCGAGGCCTCTCAGAGCCAGTCCTGGTCGTTGTCCGCGGAGATCGTTCAACGACCGCAGCAGCGGCAGCAGCAGAAGCAACAGGAGCGATTTTCGACCCTTGTCGGAATGCACCGCATCGTGTCCGATATCCGGACGGTGAGGAGGGGCTACAAGACCGACGCGTTCCGCTTGAGGGTGTGGCGAACGTCGGCTTCGCGGCAAGGCGAGGTGAGGAACCAAACATCGCTCCCCCACGAACTGGGAACAGAAGAGGTTGGGCGTAGTGCAAGTCGATTGCGCTCACTGCCAGGCACGGAAATGGTGTTGTTGGTGGCCCCTGCCAATACCAACAACCAACACGTCCGAACTGTACAGAGGCTTTGGACTACATGTGGGAGATTGTAGCGAGATCGGTTTGGAAGATACCTCTCCTCCCCCCTCTACCCAGCGTGGACGGAACATGCCCCGATTGTTGAACGAAACCCACCCCATTGCAACTCCTACAGCCAGTGCCGCCCACAACATGCCAACAAGCAACCACGGGGTTCGACGTTGCCATCCGTACAAGAGAGAGTGAGAGAACTATAGGGGTAGAGCCCACCTCACAAGTAATCCATTGCTCGCCTCTCGCTATCGCTGATGGCCCCTCCTCCACCTTTTTTCGTCATTGTTACGCACGTCAGGTGGCTAGGACGGGAGACTAGCTACCGCGCGGGTCCAAGAGCGTACGGATTAGTATCGATAGATTCCAATGGCGAAGGCATGCTTAACGGAGGTCGAGCGAGTTGGACATGCCAGGAATAGAGTCTGCCTGTCGATGGGCGACTAGAGAGACAGAATGACGACTTGTGGTGCGATTCTTGGGGCCGCATTCGGGGCAGACTGCGGTTAGCGCGATGTTATATGTAAGGATGTGGCATCATCGACACCGCCAAGTGTTCACCCCGTCGCCCGATAACTGACCACGACGCCGAAAGAAGGGAGCTTCTGTTTGGTGGGGGAAATTTTATCTGAGATGAGGATAGGTGCGGGGTCGTTCCCCCTATTGCAAGACGAAATCGTTTATGAGAGTTCGTTTTTCCCACCACAAGCGGAGAGTGTTTGAGCATCCCGTGTAGGCGGTATGCAAGACATCGCGCCGAGTCAATAGGCCCCCCTGTCTGATGGTAGGCGAGGCCCACGTATGCGTTGTATACCTGATTGGATTGGGTTGTGAAGCTGGGATATGTCTGGCTGATGGCATGGGATACGATTAGATGAATACACCTGCACTGTGTTAGGCTAGACTGTGAAGGACAGATGTCGTATGCGTTCATGGTCAGACGGATTGGGATGAGATGGAGAGGGATGGGAAGGACGAGATGCTGGGATGTTTCTGGTTGACGGAATTGGGCAGCATCGGATGCACGAGTCGGCGCTGTCTTGGCTAGCCTGGGTAGTACCGACCTCGTGAGCATGCAAGATGAGGCTGGATGAGATAGGAAGGACTGGGATGGAATGGGACGGGGTGGGAAGGGATGAGACGAGACGAGATGGGACGGAACTTGCAATGGCGCTTGGTAGATACGATATTGATCGGTACGGCTGACCGCAAGTGATTCTCAATGGAGGTCCAGTAGGACATGCCAGTATCGAATCTGTCTGACGATAGGCGATAAGGAGCGGCCGATAGCTTGTGCTCCGATAGTTGATGTGATTCGCGGGCCAGATTGTGTTTGACACGTGTTGTGTGTGATGACGTAACACCACCGACAACCGGTCGTGCTCGTCCCATCCTCGCCCGACAACTCACCGCGCCGAAGGGGGGCTTTTGTTTTGTTGGGAGGCCCCACCGAGTGAATAGGTCAGCTATCTGACGGTGTGGCCCACATTTGCTTTGTATACCCGATCGGATTGGGACTCCAAGCTGGGATATTTCTGGTTGATGGCATGGGGTAGGATCAGAAGAATATGTCCGCACTGTGGTAGGACAGACTGTGAAGGACAGATGTCGTATGCATTCATGATCAGACGGATTGGGATGAGATGGAGAGGGATGGGAAGGACGAGATGCTGGGATGTTTCTGGTTGATGGAATTGGATACGATCGGATGCACGAATCAGCGCTGTCTTGGCAAGACTGGGTAGTACCGATCTCGTGAGCATGCATGGTGAGGCTGGATGGGATGGGAAGGACCGGGATGGAATGGGGACGGGATGTGACACGAAACGGGATGGGACGGGATTTGCAAAGAAAGGCGCTTGGCAGATACGATATTGATCGGTACGGCTGGCCGCAAGTCATGCTTAACGGCGGTCCAGCAGGACAACCCAGTATCGAATCTTCCTGACGATAGGCGATAAGGAGAGGGCGATGGCTTGTGTCCCAGAATTGGTGTGATTTGCGGGCCGGAATGTGTTTGACACATGCTGTGTGTGATGATGAAGCACCACCGACAACCGTCGTGCTCTTCTCGACCTCGCCCGACAACTTACCACGCCGAAGGGAGCTTTTGTTTTGTTGGGAGGCCGCGCCAAGTGAAAAAGTCAGGTTTCTGACGGTAGGGGTGGCCTACGAATGTGTATTCTACCCGGTGGGATTGGGACGGAAAGCTGGGGTATTCCGGGTTGATGGCATGGGGAAGGGCCAAATAATGACTCCGTGCTGTTTTCAGTTAGCCGGGGTAGGGCAATTGTCATATGTAAACACTATGATGGTGGATGGGGCGACGGACTTGGACAGAATGGAAAGGATGGGACGGCGTGTAGGACGTGATGGGACGTGATGGGACGTGATGGGACGGGATGGGACTGGGAAACACGATTAGTAGATGGAATATTGATCGATGGGAACACCCGGCATGGCTGAAAGGGGGGAACCGTTGCGGGAACGCAGGCGAACAAGAGAGGGCAAGATACTTACATTTACTAACATGGGAGATGATTTGGGCACATGTTTCTTGAAAACCGAAGGGAGTGGGCGCCAGAATAGCATGGCTCGGAGAGTAACTGCCGTAGGTGAGGCCTTCTACATTTCCCACTTTTCTCTCCGTCATCACCTGTTGTACGAATGAGAGATTTCGCACGCCGTGTATTGTGAAGCAGTTTGAACAGCATCGGAGTTTCGGGTTTGGGAAATATTTGTTCCTGTGCTCGAGAATGTTTTTTCACGTTTGTTTTTGCCCGTTTGTTTTGTATTTTCCTCAGTGGTGGGGTGGACTGGTGCCGAATTCCGTTCGAGAATGAGGCTGTCTTGGCCTTCTAGAGATTGACTAGGCGATGAAACCCGTTTTTCGCATACGACTTTTCCGTAGCTCTGTCTGATATTGCTGCCGAACGCTGGACGCGCACCGTATTCTTTCGGTGCGAGGGCCGCAACTAGGAGAAATATTGTTCTGACATTTGAGCGCGTACGTCGCCTGTGATGGTTTGATGATTCGCTTGGTCATAACACGGGACATGGTGTGCGCCCTTGGGCACTCATCATATCTCGGAAACGAAAGGAGTGGACAGCGGAAAACCCGTGGCTATTCTCGGGCCTCGGGTGGTGCGGTGTTGCGGGTTCGCGCCTCGTGTGTGTTTCATTTTGTTGTATCCGCCCTTCGTCGAGCGAAAGCAGTGTGCCTACATGTGTCGTTCGTTCGGAGGAGCATTAAGAGATGCACTGCAGCATGGTACAGGCTGGGAGTATGCCTGTCACGGCGTTGTATAAGATTATTATTTGAAGGGGGTCGTCGTCTGGAGTAGTGGTGGATTGACCACGTTTGCTTGACACCAGGCCCGTGAGTGAGTGTTGAGCGACTGGAAAGCTGCAACAAGCGTAGTATATAACATGTCGGCATAGATCCAAGCATGATGGAGCAGGCAAAGTGTGCGTGTGTTTTGGCTACGGGTGTGTTCGTGTGTTGTCCTTCCATCTTTTCTGGAAGTCAGCGATGTCCGTTCCGAGAACGTCGGACACACCTCCAACCCGGTTTACACGCTGTCGACCACATGCGGATGTTGAGTGTTCTTGTGTAGGTAGTGGTGGCTCCATCGTTTGAGTCTTCGTGGTAGAATAGGTGCTTGATAAGAGCGAGGCCGGCATTGAACCCTGAACGGAAAGCGACGGTCGTATTTTGAATGTATCACAGGAAGTATTGCCGGAAACCGATCGGATGACCACCCGATTTTCATGGCCTCCTAATCAAAGGGCTCCATGCACACCCCCCAGCTCTGCACATGATAATTAATTGTGTGTTGACGTATGCATAGACAATCTGGTCGAACGCCCGGTGGTTGAACTTGAAGACCTTTCGGAACCCCATCAAGAAAACGATGCTGACTCTACGGGGTCATGATAGATGCAAAACCCAGGCAGGTTGATGACAGATGCTAACCCATGTAATCCTTATCACCACGCTACACCGGAACTCGTTTTGCGGGGGACGGAGACATTTCTGATAACTATTATAGAACAACGACAAGGTTGTTTCAAGCTCGACCTTGGGGAGACAGCCACCCACGAAATCGACATTCGAAACATCCGTAGGTTGTTGGGGTTGTATGGGGTTTCGAAAAAACCTGCACACTGACAAACTCGAGGACCCGTTGTAGTTCCGAACGGACCATCCATGCGTTCCGACTTCTATCCAGCCTTTCACCACTCATGAACACCCACTAGCAGCATGGTGTTCAACTACGTCTGTCGCCCATATGGCTCGCCCCTGCATAGGTTCACGATTACCGACCTACAGGTAGGCTATCTTATCATCAACACGAAATATCCTACGAATGAGCCCCATGAGTGCGGTGATCGACACCACTCTTCAAAGATTCCATACCGTGAACGCCCTGGCTGCCCATCTGTCTGCGCCGAAAGCGTGAACATCCAAACAACAACAATGAGGCTACCATCCGGATCACAGAACAACGAAACGTTACCGTGCACTGCTGTCGGTGCGCGACGACAGAGGTAAACAGGCGCAACCAATACGAGCAGTACATAACCAAGAGCTATATTCGAGTGACACCTATCGATACCAAGGTTCACGAAGGCTACGAGATACAAATCCATCCAGTGTGCGCAGGGTGGTCAGTTTCCCATATAACACCATCGAAGTTATCAACAGTGAACTAGGATCAGCCAGCTTCAGGGTCGAACGAAGAACACATATGCAACGCATCTCTAGTCGTGTGACA